TCTTTACCTCCATTATGTAAAGCCAACCCAATTTCCCCTTGGTAATCAGGATCTATCACACCAGATAGTACAGTAATGCCCTTCTTTGTCTGTTGATCCAGAGGCATGAGCAAGCCAAAATGGCCGGGTGGTATTCTTAATTTCCAGTTCAATGCAATCAGTATTGAGTCTCCAGGTGGGAATGTTCCTCCCTTTGGGACTAAGATCTCCAGACCCACAAAGCATAAGGTAGCAAGGACAGAAAGCAAAAATTTTTTGAGTGGGTCACTATGGGTAATAGTGAGTAGTACCACTCCTGTTACCACCCCTTGGTTCCTGGACCTGTGAATCCTGGCTATTGGAGAAACAGAACCGTATATTGGACGCTGGTTTAGAGCATATACAGCCTCCTGGAGAACATTGCGCCAACCCTTCAAGGTACTGCCACCTAGCTGGCACCGTAATTGTGTTTTCAGGAGGCCATTCCATCATTCTATCAAGCCAGCTGCTTCAGGATGATGGGGAACATGGTAAGACCAGTGAATTCCATGAGCATAAGCCCAGTGCTGCACTTAATTTGCTGTGAAGTGAGTCCCTTGATGTGAAGCAATGGGATACCATGACGGTGGATAAGGCATTCTGTAAGTCCACGGACGGTAGTTTTGGCAGAAGCACTGCATGCAGGGAAGGCAAATCCATATCCAGAGTAAGTATCTATTCCAGTAGAACAAAACGCTGTCCTTTCCATGATGGAAGTGGCCCAATGAAATCAACCTGCCACCATGTTGCTGGCTGATCACCCCGAGGAATGGTTCCATATCGTGGACTCAGTGCTGGTCTCTGCTGCTGGCAGTTTGGGCACTCAGCAGTGGTGTGAGCCAAATCAGCCTTGCCAAGTGGGAGTCTATGTTGCTGAGCCCATGTATAACCTCCATCCCTGCCACCATGGCCACTTTGTTCATGAGCCCATTGAGTAATGACAGGAGTAGCTGGGGGAAAAGGATGACTGGTTTCCACTGAACGTGTCATCCTATCCACCTGATAGTTAAAGTCCTCCTCTGCCGAGGTCACCTTTTGGTGGGCATTCCCATGAGACACAAATACCTTTACTCCTTTGGCCCATTCAGAGAGATCTATCCACATACCTCTTCCCCATACATCCTTATCACCAATGTTCCATTTAATGATGGAGTGCTGCTGTGCATGTCCACCTTTATGACTCTGTGGGTCAGACAATACCCAGTTCATGATGGGCAGCTCAGGCCTAATGGTCACTTGGTGGCCCATGGTTAGGCGTTCAGTCTCTACTTAAGCCCAGTAGCAAGCCAAAAACTGTTTCTCAAAAGGAGAGTAGTTATCTGCAGAGGATGGCTGGGCTTTGCTCCAAAATCCCAAGGGTCTGCATTGCAATTCACCAATAGGGACCTGCCAAAGACTCCAAACAGCATCTTTATCTAC